TTCATTACACATTACGACTTCTTTTATATAGGTACTATCCGTTACCTGCAATTTCGTCTGCTTCTTTATTGATAAAAGATAACCTACATTGGTCACTATGGAATATATTTTCACGCCAAATTTCTATATCTAGACACGCGGCAGCGTGTCAAGCCGAGTTTCAAGTAAACTGGCCTGCAGCACCGTGTGTATATTTACACGAACCATTTGGAGCCACTTTTGAACCCCTCATAACTCAAAAACTCTTTCACACAAACCTGTCAAATTGGTTGGTTCATATATTGAGACTTGCGAGATAAATATGTGTTCCAAATTTCATAAACATATCTCAAACGGTTATTTAGATATTAATGCCCAAAAATCGTCATTTTTATCACTGATCAACTATAGATCAAAATTATAACCCACTTCCAGATGACCTAGGAAGTTCAAATTTGGTATGCAGATAGGTAATTAGGTGAATATAAAGGAAAAAATCTGAAACTGGTAAATTGTTATCATTTTACTACAATTTTTAACATTAATTGATTCTATTTCAACTTATACTGGACCAATACTAAAATTCTATGAAAACGTCGATAGCCACCAATTGACATTGATCCCTGGCGAAAAATCTCATCTTGTACTGGACGTAAAGTAATATTGTATGAAAACGTCGATCATTACCAATTTACGTTGACCCCTTCACATCAGTGTCGATAACTAGCAAACTTCAAATATTGCATTGAGCGGTAAACACTAGTTGCTATAATTTAGATTCTGTCTAAAATATACTCGTACTTATAACTAGGAGTATAGTCGAATTTCGTATTTATTATGTTATTAACTGAGATTTGGTATTAATTATTGTTTCAATATTTAGCGCACATCGATAGTGTAAAATCATTATTTTTATAAATAATTATTAAATAATAGGCATTTCCATTGGTGTTTCCATTTACGTGTGTGTAGTCTACAATTATGAAATAAGGTCGTGATTTGTAAATAAATATTACGTAACACTATTACAACTGTATAAAAATTCACAGAACAGTATTCTAGTATTAAAATATTTATCAGGAAAGTAACTAAATATATACCTCTTTACGTAAGAGTATATTATTTTTTTTTGTACACCATACCAGGAGTATAGTATCTACCAATGTCATGGTACAGTCGTGTCTTAGTTATTTACACAAAAGGCAAATAATACATTGTACAAATGTTGTTGGCGCTAGTTTTAGATCTGTTAGGTGATATTAGAAATCAATAGGTTTAATACATATAGCAGTTTTAACCCACGGCCTCAGTATTCTAGCTGTTTAACACACCAATTTATTTTCGATGGCCGAAATTTCGATTCCTCGTTCACTTCTGGGTTTTTTATACGTATAAGATGTACACATTTTATGTGAAAATGTACCTAAGTATATCTGTCAGTTGTCTAGTACTCATAACACAAATTCTGCTTAACATAGAACTGGATGGCATTGCATTAATTATCCAGCGATTGTTCTTATTACTTATCTACGTCAAACCCAAATGTCCAGTTTTATACGTAGGTATCTCTGTTTACAAAGGATTCATTCCATAAATTACACACAAATTTTATAATTTTTTTTCCTTCCCCCGACTTAGTCAGCTGATCATATTTGTGAGATTCCCCATGCCTAGTATGACGTCACAATATTTTGTAATACACTAGTAAACCTCTAGTTTTAAGTGTTTCATTAATAGTACAAATTTTGTGTAAACATCGAAAATTTGGTCTGCTCCCACCCCTTCTCATACAATGTCATACTTTGTGAATATCTTTGTCCCTATATGTCAAAGTGTGTGTAATTTATAGTCATTAAGAAATTAATCTTGATAAGAATATAGACAAGACAATAAATAATCAAGGAAATAAAATGAAACAAAATGAAATGAAGCATTCTTCATTTCATTTTGTTTCCTTCCATCAAGTATATACTGAGAAAAAAATATGAGTAGTTTTTACATACAAAAGCCCAAAAGTGAACCTTTATTATTAAAATAAAAATGATGGTATGAAAGTGGAACAAATATTTACTGGTGAGCCCTGGTGTTTCATCCATGGCCTATGGTAACCATTTACCATATAATGGACTAAATGCTTGGTTGTGACCACAGACACAAAACACATAATATATTACACAGGTATTATCATATGTATAAGTAGCAGTACTACTTGATGATCAGATAAAGATAGATGCCAGATTAAATATAATATTATTTTGGTAGTATAATTGGTGTGTGATAAGATTCCAATTTATTTCTAGTTTCTTCCAAGTAATAAAAATAAATTACAGATATCAGCACTAAATAAAATATTATTATATGACCTTTTTTCTAGATTCTATAGTAATAAAAAGAATACATGTATGGCCATATAATTAACAAGATGATAAAATTATGAATAATTTCATAATTCTGTTATCATCAAAATTATTTCTAACTAGCTGGGCCCACAGTTTCATCATGTACACAGTACAGTGTGAAATTTATAACCTATGTATTATTCTAATGTATATGCTATATTATTGTAGTTTCATCAAAATCGGTTCAGTAGTTTTTGTGTGCAAGAGAAACAAACACCCATCCACCTTTCATTCTCACAAACTTTTACATATAGAATATTAGTAAGATAAAATTCATTTTAGGGATCCTCCCTTGTAAATGAATATAAAAATGTGTGCATTTTCTCTTCTTCTTCTCTTTCTCTTGTGTTAATGAATGTGAGTAGTCTTTATTGTTGTATGGAGGTAGGTTGGACTCCATTTTCTGCAATTGGCCACTCATTCGGGTCGTTGTGCGGTTGGAGCCAGGCTACTATAGTAGCCAGCCAAGCTCCTCCCAGAAGCGCAGAAGTCTCCTGGTGTCATTGTTGTATGGAATCATAAACTGCATGTGGCCTTTTATCATTAGGCTCTATGTTTGTGGTAAAACTGTAAAATATTGTTTTCACACTAAAATTAATAATATTATAATCAATACTTACAAAGCTACTACTTTTTGCTTTCTCATTTCGGGACATTTTTCTTTCGTTAACATTCAGGTGGACCATTCTGTAACAAATAATTTCAAGTTAATCTAAGGCTATCTTTACACCTACAATTTAGTTTTACTTATGTAATTCAATAGAAATATTTTAATAGCCAGTAGTAATCATTAATTAAAGCCTAACAAATTTGTATAAATTATTGCTTTAACTGTAGGTATGATAATAGCCATAGATAATGCACTACAGTTTAAACATTAAGCGAGGTCAACTGTCAACTAACTAACTAATAATGTATACTAAATATAAAAAATAAAAATAATGTTCTGACTATCCTAGGATGTTCATATGTAAATATTTATGCTAGCAGACACAGCATCTTGAACCAAGTATTAAAATGCTATGCATCTATACCCTGTGAGGCAGAGAGAATCATTTGATATTGTATACATTTATCTACTGTACATAATGTTCAAATAACATCTATGAAAAAGAGTTAAAATCTCCATTCCTACATTATCCTACTAAGAAGTAATTATAAAACAAGAAGTTTTAGTTTATTTATGCCCATTACTGGACGTACAGTAATGAGAAACAACAACATTTAGGTCATTTTGTTAAACATAAAACAAGTAGCAACTTTTAATCCCAAATTTTCCAACGTCTAATATACTAGACAAAAATGCTATTGTATATTATTTAGTTCCGAAATCTTGTATCCTATAAAGGACCCCACCCGGCCTGTACATTCTTTTTCTATTAAAAAACATCGAAAACATGGGTTCGGCCGTTGAAAGATTATCATAACCTGTACAATTTTTATAGATTAGAGATTATAAAACAAATATGGTACGAAAAGATAAAGAAACTACTTTACCACTAAATACACGTAGATTTAAGCCTAAACAAATTACACACATTGCTTTTTTGATAAAAACACGACAAAGCAAACAACAGCCATCACATCAAATTACACATTCACATAATTTACACACACAAACACAACAGCAATACGAGAGTTATACATATACATAGATAGGCGGTCATTTTGTTTGCAGAGTTTTGAATTTTGGCTACCCGTCTGTCTCGTCTCAACTGTCATTGTGACTGACGTCATGCTTGTTTTGTTTGTTTACGTATAATGTACGTAACATTATATTCAGTAATTTATAAATATCTCCCGATTATTTATTTTAATATATTAGTTGACGAAATCAGGTAAATAATAAAAATATTATTGAAAAATAGTATGTTCTGTCTAAGGACAGACGATTAATCGAATATCGATGCTATATTACAAGCATTACGAGCAATATCGAGTTGCCTCAGAGTTGCCATCTCAGATAATTAAATATTGTATTCAAAACAAGCTACTATTCTACCAAGTCGAAAAAGCCGCTAGAAAGTAGTAATGCCTAAGACTTCTATTTATTTGCGGTTCTAAGCATTAAGTTTCGAAATATAACACTAAGTCAAATAACATCGATATAGATTTTGAGCACAAAAATAGGTACGAACCTCAGCGATTGAAACAAAGTCCGACTAATTAATATAGTATTGTAACTATCTAAGACATCTATCGTTCAAGAGTATGGTAACTTTATATCATTTGTTCGATTTTTATAAAATTGGAACCCCAAACAAGTTGGCGATCCACATGAACGTCACCATGGACATCACTTTATCATGCAATGCCCGTGATACCACTCATGCGTTTCCGTTTCGGAAGACTAAGATATCACGCCTCTTATCTTGTAATTTCATCTAATAACCAAAGTACACGCTCGTACGTGGGTACCTCATATATCAATTTCTGTGACTCCGTGCCTTACTTTTGCAGTTTACAATCCCAGGAAGTTATTTGTTTGTCGAAATAGGAACTTAAAATAGATGTTATTCGAATATTTAAATGGGTTCTAAATTTAAAATTCTATTATTCATTCTATTATGCTATTCTTTTGTTCCTTCTATTTTCATTTCCTATCAAATCAAATTGCCATGGAAGTATTTTTCTGATCATAATTTTTTAATGTAAAATTAAAAAATAACTCTGAATATTAATATAATTTTACTAAATTGAAAGTAGCGCATTTAAATATGGATTCTCAAGAACAACCGAAGAAATGCTTCTGTGCCAGATGTTTCTTACCAATAGATCCCGAAGACAAAGTAGACATTGAAGGGCAAAATTTTCACACGCTTTGCAGCACGTGCTGTAAGTGTTCATTTAATATCATCATGCTCCATATTCCATATATCTACTAGCATTTTTCATGATTTCTTTGTCCGTTGCAAAACATAGGACTCTGCTTTAATAAAGTTCAGTGTCAGGTACACACTGTTACAAGAACCTTTTTTAAAATTTCTCTTATCACGGAATACCACTCCTCTCCGTCACATGTTATCTATATGATACTCAAATTGTAATAGTGTATAAATAGATATGTTTATTAAATTTATAACTATTTTGTAGGTATCTGTCGAATGATCCCTACATCCCTTAAAATGTTCTATGGGCATGTGTTTTGTAACGACTGCTTTAAGACCCATGTTCTAACGAGATTCAAAGGAGATAGTCCGCGGATCCACACCAACAGCTGGTGGATGCAATGGGCGCCTGGAACAAAACCTCGGGAAACTAAGGAAGCTACTCAAAAGGATGAAGGTAATCGTTCATAGGTTTATTACTGAGATTATAACTAAAATATGTTGCGTATGTGCGTCATGACGTCAGATGTCATGACAATGTTAAGATGCAATTTTCCAGACAAATACAATATGCAGATTAAACAATGATAGCACTGAAGTTGTAGCCAACGGATATAACATAGCTCTTCAGTCAGTAGAATATATATGATATACGTGTGCAAAAATGTGTATTTTTGGTGACTTTTTACATTTAGCTTAGAAAGATTTTTTATCTTTGTAAATTAAATTGGTTTTGCCCAGCACCTCTTCTTCTCCTATTCTTTGATTGGACAAACCGTAATGCTTTAGTTCATAAATACAGATGTTTAATGTATTGTTGTATTACTTGTTATAATGGGATGAAATGTATAAAACTTTATTGAAACAGAAATGAAACCGCAGAACGATGCAGAGGACCAACCTCGAAAGTGCATTAATGTATTGTTGTATTACTTGTTATAATGGGATGAAATGTATAAAATTTTATTGAAACAGAAATGAAACCGCAGAACGATGCAGAGGACCAACCTCGAAAGTGCATTTGTGCACGATGCCTGCAAGCGGTGGACGAAAATAATAAGGTCAATATCGGCGGGCAGAACTTCCATCCACAATGCGCAAAATGCTGTAAGTTAAAAAGCTATCATTTAGCTAGCAATATATTTTGTTACTCATTAGGTCCAAAATGCCTGCTTTAGAAGAAGTCTATTGGTATTTAATATTCTAGTATTTTATCATGACACTAGTTGACTAGATAATAAATATTTAACGTTATGCTTAAAAAATAGACATCAAAAATAGATACATATCCTTTTGTATAAATTATATTTATTAAAAACATTTTTAATAAATAAAATTGTACTATACAATTTATTAAAAACTTATAGTAATCTAGAACATTAACATTTTTTTTTTTATTTTAGTAGTATGAAATATATATAATTTTTAATGTTTTGGAAGTATTCGGCAGCAATAAAGGCAAGACAAAAAAATGTACAAAATTACCAACATTAGAATACCGACTTCCATAGACCCCTATTCCACGGTTCCACGGGTATATAATTTCGAATATAGAACGGGCCCTGATCTCAACCTTTATAAGTCTGTTTATGGAATATGTAGTTAAATATACTTTTGACGTCGCAACAAAAATTTTTACGATTATATTGCTATCATTAAATTTGTTTCAGATCTCTGCCATTCAATTCCAACAGACAAAGTGAAAATCTATTATGGACAAGTATTTTGTGAGGAATGTTTCCATCGGCACGTATTGAACCGCAATAGGGATAATCCATCTGAGTTTTTTAAGACCTGCTTCGAACAGTGGCAAAACAATAGCCAGTTTGCTGAAAATATGAGGGAGTTTATGACTGGAAGGGAAAGTACGCCATTTGTTTTTATGATGAATGAGTCACAGCCACCTCTCTATAGCTGTGGCACTGGACAAAAGGACTGGTTTCCACCGAATGAACCTAGGAAATGCAAGTATTTCATGTGCTTTGTAGTCGATTTTTGAGACTTGGGTCATCTAAATAGTCAATAGGTCTAGGTATCTACAATTCATTTTGTGTAAAAATTATATGAACAATTATTACTGAACAATAAGAAACTTCCGATGGAATTTGGAAAGTTAATGAGTATAATATAGTTTATACTCATTTCTGTCGACAACTTCTATTGTATAACATAGGTACACAATATACATACTGATTATATTCGTTGAGATAAATATATATTTAGCCGTAATAATATGCATGCATTTGTTTTCGTAGGTGCGTAAAATGGTGAAAATTTTCAGCTGCAACACCGGCCACCGTATCTATTGGCGACGAATCCTTCGGTACGTGGGATCTGTCTTTCGAGAATCGTACCGAAGTATCGGAGTCCCCCGAATCGAGCATCGCCATCGACGAATCGGGAAATCATGAAGATATGATTGTGGCTGCAGCAGAAAAAATTGAAAAGCTGACAAAATACCTTCACGAAAGACGTGGTGATAACACTCATGAAAAAAGCGCGAAAAAATGGAAAAATTACATTGAATGCGGCAAGACGTCGTCGACGTCCGTAAATGATCAGTCGCAACACGGATGGGTCGATTTGTCAGATCCGAAAAATTATACAACTCATTTGGATTGTCCAAAGTGTTTGTGGCAGTGCGGTCCTATTTATGTAAACAGTGGATATTTACAAAAAGTTTCTTGTGGAGAAAAATTTTCTAAGGAATAAAAACGTGGCGTTATTATATTTTTTTCCTTTCCCATCTATAGTTACCAACATGAGAGCCCTTATTTAGATTAAAATGAATGTATGGATTGTAAAAATTATCACAGTAATTATTGATAGGTCAGCCACAGTTGTTAAAAAATATATCAAAGTATTTATATCAGTTGTCTAGTACTCATAAAACAAGTTCTCCTTAGCTTGCGGCTAGATGGCTCTCTGCGAATTTTTTTGAGATATTATTTTGCTATGGGACAGATTCTAAGAAATATCATTTAAGCTACATATTACGTAGCTCGATTTACCGTTCAATTCTAGCGGGGGTTGAAATTACAACGGACTGAGGTTCAAACCTCTAGCGGTACTCTCAAACTAAAGCCGTATTCACCAGACAGAAGTTGGCCTTCAGGCGCCCCATAAGTCCTTCCGCGGGTGTGGAGTGCCAACTGCACTCGCCTCCTATCGTCCGGTGAAGCTGTAAATGCCATCTGCGGCTAACAATATTGGAATAGTCCGAAAAAATTCTTAAGTGGATTTTTATACAGCAAAATTAAGTATATACCTACATATATGTACTAGGTTCTGCTACTTGAAAGTACATAGGAAATATTAGGTTTAATAAATTTTCATAATGTAATAGTTGATTTGGTATAGTTATTTCATATTTTTCATAAAGTATCATAAGACTAGAGATCGTTAAGATGATGCAGAAATAACTAATAAAGACAATATCAAATTTAATCACAGTTTATTTACTAACTAAAAATATCAGTTTATTTGTTTAAGCCCGATGACATCTTTAAGTTTCAGCTTTACCTCCCCTGAACATTCAGATCTTTTGGGCGACCAGATGTACTTGTGAAAGCAATCAGTACAAAATGTATGGCTATAATACATGCGAGAATGGATCGGTGTACAATGACAGACACCTGGAAAAGAATTTTAAAATATTTATCGTGTAGCAGAAGTAATTTCAAAATAATTATCTATAGGATTCAGGATAATAAATTATGAGCATGAGGTATTTTAGAAGTCTCCACAAAGGGGATTGATAGTAATAGGGATTAGTCTAGCACCCATATTTATCAATATATCATAATATATATCATCATATAGATTAAACTCCACGCAATCCCCTGAAATATTTGTTATCATTAATTCAAGGGAATTTTGTCATGATGGGCTAACTGACCTGATTTCATGGTTATACTATCATCATTCACTGATATCTCACCTGCGTTATATCCTGAACACTGATGTAGTCTCGATACAAGAGAGGAGACTGCGACGTGTGACTTTATGCATTTATTGTTAAGATTTGTATTTCTTTGTTAATAATGGAATAGTGCACCCACTTACGATAAAGAAATATTACAGCTCGAATGTGCTATTTTTTTCAGCACATTCGAGCTATAATATTTCTTTATCGTATAATATACTTTTTATTTTATTGCACCAGTTTATTTTAAATAAATCAACGCCCGACACTCAACATAACCCGTTTTGAGTTCTGTAATTCTTTCCGTCTACTGTCGAATTTACTTCTCCTTTATTATATATTTTTTGTTCTTTTTCTGCAATCATATATTCTTCCATAATATTAAGGATTATTTTTTATTTTCTATTAGATTTTTTTTTATTTTTATTTATTTTACATGTTTTTGACACAGTTGTTATTTTTTTCTTTTTCTAGTATTTAATTGATGTTTTATTATTTTTATTTTATGAAAACGAAGTTAATTTATAGACAGTACATATTCATCTACATTACGAGTAAATATGTTAAATAAAATTCGAAAAATCGAATAAAACATCGAGTTGTACGGAATAAATTATATCAAATCAAGATATTTCGCTTTACAACTTTATACTGCTTGGCAACATTATATTAGAACTGTCAATGTCAAGACTGTCAAATCTTCTATAACAGTTTATTATACTTTTACAGGCGTGGCTATAAGAAATTGTTAATTTTAATAATTTTGAATAGAAAATAATTATACTCTATTATTATTACGTATAAATAAATAAACATTGTAGGCTAATATACCAAATGTGTTACAAATACATCATTAAGTTAACGCTGTCTAGATCTTCTTTTTAATCGGTATTCTCTGTACTCCTATTTTTGATAAACAAACAGTTTGCTGTTTATTTCAAAATGTATGGAAGAAAGACGCCATCCACTTATCGCTCCACGCCGTCAGTATACTCTCATTATACCGGAAAGTAAGTATTGTGTCTTTTCTATTTATTATTGGTATTCAGTTATAATATTTCACTATTCCATTATACCTAGAGTCACTTCTCATTAAATTTTAAATAAGAGTACAGCGAAGTTACAAATTCTGCACCTTTTTCGTATATTTTAATATTATTTCTTACATTTTTAGTATGTTTTAATATTTCATTTTCCAGATAATTGAAAAATAAGCCATAAATACTTTTCTTTACTCTTCCCTAACTATAACGATAGCTGTATATAATTTGGATACTGGAATAAATATGCCTACAAATATAAAGATTATCACTAAACTTTTAAACAAACTTATATGACACAATAAATTAAATTATATAATCAGAATTACATAATTTTATTTAACATTTTTAGGATATGCTGTCCATTGACATGACTCCCTTTTATTGCATATAAGGAGTTACACTTTTGTTTTGAGTTGACTTATATTTTGGCCAGATATTTTCTCTAGTTAATTATATAATTAACAAACTTATTAATTATTAATATATAATTATTATTTTCTTACTTACAGATCAACATCAAACTTGCGATCAACAAAATCTGTAAGATCCCTGCGAGTACCTTGGTACCAGAAGCCCATACTACATGATGCATTTGTTCTTGATCTACAGAGGGGCTCACTGCTCACTGGATTCATTTCTCTTGTAAGATAACATTCTATATTCATAAATTAAATAGAACTAGAATCCACAATATACATGATTCAAATTTAAATTCAAAGCCTTTACTAATTGACATATCATCTAATAGAAATATTTACTTAACAGTTTAAATAGATACAATCAGTTGTATATTTATATATATATGCTATTTGTAATTCTGCACATCAGTCTCCGAGTCAGTGTGTCCTTTAAACACAAGTCTCCAGTGTTTTCCATGTGTTCCTATCTTTTGCCAATCCGAGTCACAGTGGGTAATTTTTATATACATGTTACAGTCATATGTAATTTAATACTATTATTGTTTTTGTATATATATATATATATATGCATATATAATATATAGAATACACCCAGAATAATATAAATAATAATTCCTGAACCCAACCTTCAGAAATATTACCTTACTGTGTAGTAGGAAAGTCAAGACAAATTGTTGTTACAGAATATTGTTTCTTTCAGTTCATAGCCCTGTTCACATTTGCACAAAGTATATTTGACCTGTACTGCTTGGGCATGGCATCTCCAGGCGCCGTACACTATGGTTACTATGTTCTTAGTTTCCAGTTTGTGTATGTTGGTAGTGCACCAGGTAATATTTTTATAGCCTACATATTATAGTAAAAGTTAATAGTAACTTATATTCCTCAGTTTATTTTTTTTAATTTAAACTTTTAAATAAAATAAAAGATTAAATTTAAAATTAAAATGATAATAATGTTCAGATTGATATACAATATAATGAACACTTTTTGGTATTTTATCCCAGTGTAATGTTTAGTATCTACTTGAGGAATCTCATTTTTATGTTTATATTATATGTCCTATATTCTGAGTATGTTATGTGATATTTTTGTCATAACTTTTTGCAATCTATCTACATTTGTCTTTATACTATTGATTACTTTTTACTTGACATTTTTTAGAAGTTTTGGTTTTGATAATAGATGACAAACCTCTTTAAGTGACTTCTATTAATTGTATATTTCTTTTTTTTCAGTCCGCAATGTACTTATTGTATTTGCACTATTTTCTTGGATTGGATCTGTTGCTGTACTCATAACTAGCATTATTCTCATTAATGCTTTAAGAAAGGTAAATTACTAATTATTTATATAGATATAAAATTAAACTTCTTAATATTATAATTGTGAAAGGTTCTTAGCTAACAATTGAATGTATTTTACCACAAGGAGCATAAAACAATATAGTATATAGACTATTTAAATATTACAGTTTCTACATGTGTATATAAAGATACATGATTCTTAAATTATTGCATTTGAGAATTATGTATGTAGTATAAAGTTATTGCTCCTGACTATACTTTTTCTAATTTTTCACTTGCTTGTTGTCTATTTCTCATTCAATGTATCTGCTTTTTTTGTATTATCACATCATATTCATTCACCCATTCATTTCATTCACTCATGCTGCTATCCTGTAGTTAGTACAGCAGGCTAAAAACAAGGTATAGTTGATGTTACATTATTTTGTAAGATATATTTATTATAAAATAATATTATTATAATTATTACATGTATGTATATTATTGTGTAATTATAATGATAACAATATCCATGCACAATTCACACAGCGCCATCTAGTGTAGGTAAGCGGAGTTGTGTTATGAGTACTAGACACATGATAGAAATCTTTAGATACATTTTCTTTTGTAAATACATACATGAACATAATACATAGAAATCACCCAAAATGCAAACAGTGATACTGATGAATACAAATATTTGTATGTGAGAGATAGAAATGTTTTACATTATTGACTTACCTTTAATTTAAACTTTATTTAGTATCTAATTATGGGATCTCATTTCTTTTAGAATTGTATTATATTTCCTATATTCTGAGTATGCTATTGGATATTTTTGTTATAACTTTTTGCTAACATAAGATGTACTATATTTGGAGACTGTTTATTATTAATTTTGTTTGTTTTTTGTATGTATTAAGTTTGTCTGTGTATTGTGTTCAGGAACATGAGAAACGTATAGTACCCTGGCTGTATACATTTGGAGTATTCATATTATTCAGGACTGTGGCATTCATATTCGCCTCAATAGTGAATGATATGATTTTTGCATACAACATCCTGATGTGCCTTTGTTGGATCGTCTTTTGCGTGTGTGGTGTCTATGGATGGGTGTTGGTGTACAGTCTGTATTTGGAGCTGGCGGATTTGACCAAATTGGAGGACTTGGCTCATTTGAGGGTAAGGCAATAGTTGTTCATGCACGGGATTTTCATTTAATGACAGACATCTATATAAATATACAGCGTAAATAAACTAGCTTTGACAAAAAAAAAGGAGTTCAATTGACATTCTTGCCATTTCTTCTCAATTCGATCTATATATTGGACTGGATAGTAGGGAAAACATTATAATATAAAAAATTTGACGCTCATGAGCGGCTAAATTGATAAATGATTTTTTAATTTGAATTTTATAGATAAAAATTTTTGTTTGTTTCTTAGTTCAAAGATATAAGCTTCATTACAAGTAGTATACATTACAAGGTATTATAGGGTTATTATATGGGTAAACCTGAATGTGTGTGTAGTTACAATACAAAATGGCTCATAGCTCAGTGTGGTGAATTATATGAGAAATATACACTGGTTTACACTTATATCTGTGAGGATTTTTCAAGAAGAGTATATTAAGGTTTCCTAAGGATCGGCAATGTGCACGTGTCATCCCTGGCGTCTCAGGCGTCCATAGGCACGGTAGCCATTTGTCATGAGATAGGCCGTATTTTTGTTTGCCACCATTATACTATAAAAAAAAATCTACTTAAATTTTTATACAGATGGGCACAATGGCGTCTCTCAACGCATCCCTCGCTGGTTCGCGCCCCACTACCCCCCACAGCACAGTGTCGACAATGCCAGCATCTCAGATATGATATGAGAAAAAGAAAGACGATATAACCGCGACTCCACAGCCTGAGAATATTCGAGAACTGGACAGCGCGGATGAAGCCACTCCACTATCTATTGAAGGTAGTCTGGAAACGCCTGTTTAGACAATAAATATAATAATTAAGGGCGCATACATAAGACTGGCAACATTTACATTGTCTGTCAATTAAAAAGAAATTAAGTAGTTCAAATTTTTGAAATATTTATTGAAGACTCTGTGGTGTAGTGTTGAAGGTTCTATAGATACAGAAGAAAGTAACACTATTTGTATTTTTGAGTTAATGCAGTTTGAGTTTGTTTTGTTTTAATCATGCAGTATTTTATAGTGCATGATTTATGTTTAGTTTATTGTACTAAATATTTCTTAAAATTGGAAAATTGTTTTGTGTACTTTATACTTTTTATATTTTGACATACCTGTCTAAAAAAAAAAAAAGTATAAAGTACACAAAACAAAGTATTTATATGCACTGAAGAAGTTATGGTATGAAATAATATGTGTCAATGTGTACTGAATATAGTGTCAATGTTATTGTAAGCCTCTTAATGTATATTTAAGATTTTGACTAAACTATTCCCAAATGGGTGAACAATATAGCATTTTCAATGTTATGTATGACATTAGTATCGTGTACCGTATAAAATAACAATGAATAATAACTAACAATTTAATTTCTAGAAAAATTCAGCAAATATGAATTTTGTTATATTACAAACAATTACATATATAGCCTGCTACTAAATTATCTGAATTCTCTGCTACAGGCTGTAGTGTTTTATATATATATATATTATGGTATTAAAAAAAAAAAAATTCCGTAGTATTTAATTATTTCATACCATAACTTCTTCAGTGCATGTAAATACTTTATTTACTATGCTAAGGCAGTTCATTGAACCCATATATTATCTATCAAAGTATGCTGTAACCCAACCGGCAGTTGTCTTTAACGGTTAAATTACTCAAAACGATATTAGCATTTATTATGAATATTTTATTGTATTAAAAAATTTTATGACATTTGTAACGGATCGGTGCACTGTATGACTGTCTAAGTGATTAAAATACGTATATTTTCATAGTAAAATAAATTACAATGCACTATGGTAAAACAGTAAGACAAATGTATGAAATAATATGACATATAAAAGGAACAATTCTAAAAAATTATAATTATAAATAATAAATATATTAAACAGTTCAAACAGTCGGTCGCTGACAACAGTGACACAATTTTCCATCAATATCCATTATATATACACCAAATACAATGCCCTGTAGCAAGGGATGTTGATAATTTGATAACACTTCATATATCGCGCACCTAGAACAATGCTGGATTAACTTAAAATTAAATTAAATTAAATTGGAAAATTCTCTCTTAAAGTTTTAATTTTATAGTGTAATTGAAAAAATTGGAAATTTTTGTGTTAATACAGTATGGCATCAAGTGTGCGAGTGCACTGCGCCATCTCCGCGCGTCATATAAATATAAATGATAAATTAAATAACATGTTATTCATATAAATACTATGTAAATTGACTGTATTATTATAAAGTACTAGGCCTATGTGTTTATCTCTCAAAGTTTACTTACAAATTATAAGAATAAAACTTTTATGTCGTACTGTACTGGACATAATCGTCATTTTAAACCCATCGATTTCAGTCAACAACTTTAGTATTATGTGTGACCATATTGAAAATTTAGTAAGGTAAGCATAGACATAATTGGGACAATGTGTGACGTCACACAATTTTGATTGACCTCGGAATTGTGTTTTTTTTATAAAATAAGAGATATTATGCACACACTGCACGAGATAAAATTTATTTTATTTACGAGTGTATTTTTTACTTTGATCTGTACAATGTTCTAAAATACATTTCGTTACACATTTTCCGATGATAAGTCACTATATTATATTTTAAAATATACATTATAGTTTAAAAAATACTAGGATTAAGTACCATATATTATTTCTCAAATGCCCTTATTTGTTATGGTAATTCCGTCCATGGTTTTTTTACCATTAATTTTAATATACTTTCAGTAATAATTTCGTCCAAGATCTGGCTTCATTTATATTTAAAAGTAGTTAATAAGATTGCCTAATGTTATTTTAACTTAATAATAAGTAAAACATTATACATATTATGTTATAGAATCTCATATATTGATCATTCTATTTTATTATATCTGCTGCAATATTTGTTATTCACGCCAGAAAGGTATAAAATCATATTTTATGTATATTAATAGTTTTTAAGTTAAAATTTTTCGATATGCATATTTTAACTATATTATAATATAAATAGGTAATACATATTGGCCTGAATTTAATTAAATATATTATTCTTGATTATCTATGTCAACGATTAAAAATGAAAATCAATAACTTTGAATTAAGTATGGCATTTTGGTGCAAATTTCTTACCATTCAGAGAAAAGTAAATAAAAATAACATATGTGGATAAAAATAATTCAATTCAGTCATTATTTTGTTATAGTTGACAATTCATGTATTATATAACAAAAGGACATTTTAATATTTTTATTACGAACTGAAATAGTTGTAGAGACTTATAAATAGCACAATCAATAATGTTAGACTTATTACTACTGATATATTCGACAAAATTAAACTATGGTGACGTAGATACATGAATAATAATAAGCAACCCAAGGCAATTAGTCGCAAAGTAAGCAGTTTGTATTATGGGTCAGTATCCATAATACAAACGATGACTCATGTGAATATTTTTTTGTAAATGCATACATAGAAAACATTTAGACCGATATAAACAGTCATATTCATAAGTATGTACAGTTTTCTATTTTTCCACTTTGTCATGTTCTCATAAATTTAAGTTATTGACATGTACTTAGTGATAATAAATTATCCTTTTTCTAAGTAGAACATCAAAAAAATTTATATTTATTCTTAGCGATAAATCAAAATAATGTCTTAAGTTTGGAATCTGAAATACTGAATGTTTTGACCATTTATAACTGCATTTGCAACTTTTTTAATGAGATCTCATATTCTATATATTTGTAGGAATATTCATGTATTATTTAGTATCCACATATATAAGTACCATGAGCAAAGTATGCTCAAATAATATTTCTTTTATATCTACATATATACTACATAATTATGACACATGCCTTAAATATATAGCAATCATGATCAAGTACTAAATATAAGCAATATTTAGTACTTGATCATGATCCCCCTGGTTTCTTCAGAAATTTGCATTTAATTGTTTAAAAACGTAAAGCACGTCATGCACCTAGCACTGAATTTTGATCTTTATTATAGTGCCTTAAAGTGCCTTGTACACTTTTATGCACGTGGTTGTTACTTGTACTGCCTTTAGTGTTAATATTACAACTATTTTTGTAAGAGGTAAAGCTACAATATGGACGTATAGTCAATGTCCAGCGCTTACACCTCATTAGACTTAAATTGTACTGAATATTGATGTAATTATACCGTCCATAGTGTTAAATCTATTTTATACGTGTACCCAATAAAACTTACCAAACAAAAATGTTTTTAATTTAATCTATAATAGCTACTCGCCCCGGCTTCCCACGGGTGTACATGTAGAGTCACGTGGGGTAAGTGTGCGCAGCGGGTAAGTGTACGCACTCGAAGTATTTCAAAAACGGTTTATAGGTACGAACTGATAACACCCCTCCTCATTAGCGCACAAAAGGCTATACTTAGTGCAACTTTTTCACTATCCGCCGGTGAACCATTTTGTTTCCGTAAGTGAGTATTGTTTTTTGCTTGAAATATTGCGATTTTTGTCTTAAATGAGAGACTCATTCCTTTGTAATATATTTATATTTTGAAATCATGCTTTATACCATCGAACAGTACATTTTATGTAATATAAGCCGTGTTTAATCTTTTGGTGATGACGATTACGTAATATTGCTCAGTTCTGGTTAAATTTTATTTTGATGGTTTGGGGTAAGTGTGCGCATACGAATGTCGGGTAAGTGTGCGCATGCGAATACTTACCCCGCTCCGCTTTGGCTTTGTATTTATGGTGCAATTTGTTATTTCAGAGTTTAATTATACATAAAAAATGCCTCGATTATAAAAGAAATGCCGGATAGAAGTGTTGTCACAGAGGAACAGCTAGAAGCTGTTAAAAGATTAATTTCGGAGGTTGGTAGCAAACGACAGTGTGGCACCCGCAATAATGAGTGTACCTTCGTCTAGGAATGAATATGTACGACTGTCATCCATTCAAGAAATACCGAAGTTGGCCTTAGGCATTTCTTGGATGAATGACTGTGATTCAAAATCGGCGAAAGAAAGGCAAAAAGTCAATCATTGATACTTGTAAGTCCTTCTAAAGTAGAATTGGAAAAACAAAAAACAAGAGGAAGAATAAATTGCCAAAAAAGAAGATACGACTTGATCTGAAAATAAATAAAATGATGAGCAGGAATTATTTTGTCCACTGTGTGGAGAAAAATACATATTTCCACCGAATGAAGATTGGATCCAATACAGCATCTGTAAGAGCTGGTGGCATGAACAATGCAATAACTTTGAAAAGGAATTATTTGAACTGATGTATTATTAGGTTGAGGATGTCTATTTTCTGGTTTATCATATGAGTCTGACTCTATTTACTGTATGTTACATGTTGCGTACACTTACCCGCACTACTGCGCACACTTACCCCTATACTTGGGTAAGTGTGCGCATTTAAACAGTTTTGATTTTGTTGATTTCCAAAGAATTTGTGTAAATGATAATTATTTATTTTGCGTTTAAGTTGTTGATTATTAAATATTTTATATAATAAACCTTGTTTTGTTCCAGTTAACTTCAAATATTTTATTATATGATACTTCAAACCTTAAGTGCGCACACTTGCCCCACGTGACTCTATTATATATATAAATTCCCTTTTGAATAAGTCTATCTATTTTGTAAATATAAAACTTCCTTTTCAATAACTATCTATTGCTAAAAACTGCATCAAAATCCGTTGCGTAGTTTAAAAGTTCTAAGCGAACAGAACGGAAGCGACATCATTTTATAACATGTAAAGATATTACACTATTAATATTATTAGTAAGCACCACTACCTACATATGTAGTTTAATCGAATTTATTTTCACGTATAAAAGCAACAAATTGTAAATTTAATCGTAATGATATACATTTTATGAAAAAAAAAAATATATTCAGAGGTGCTACAAAATTGTGAAGAGAAAAACAAAAGTCAAT